TATCTCTCCATTAGAGAGAGCACTCCAAGGTTTTATTAGTGTAATAAAGTTGATCTTCAGTACCACAAAAAGCCTCCTGACCCAAAGATGCTCTGAGGTCCAAGACTGAATGTGTTCCTCATCTTCATTCCTCATATGTCTTACACACACTCTGACACGTGCTTTCTCACCCATGACATGCATCTTAAGATTAATTAAAATGGTTTTATGGTATTGTTTTCACTAAAGACTTAGTGATGTGAAAAACTTCTAAGTGTATGTTTCTTTATTCATGTTTTTGTTCTTTATTTTTGCTGCATACAGAAGCATGACAAAATGCAAACGGACCTAACACTTTATAAAAGTTTCAATATTTGTATTTATTTCCTCACAAACATTATATTTCAAGATTTATATTACCTAAATCTTGAAATTGACCCATCCCGCCTGTGCCCTCTTGTGGTGGAAATAAACAATTGCAGAAAGGAAGTTCAATTCGACCAACCTTTTAGTGCACATAAGTTTATGTTTTCATAATATATGTAATACTTTGTTTACATGTTAGTTTTAGGTTTCCACAATATAAAAAAATCCAAAATGTATGTGGGCTATCCTAAAGCATGTACAGTTATTGCATTGTTATTTAATGATAAATTCAGTCTAGTGTGAGTGCCCAAACCATTGATTGATAGAAAATGTCTCAACTGAATTTAATCTGTGATGAATCAGATTCATTAATGGAGGCTATGAAGTCGATTTTGTGATTAAATAGATTTTAAAAGTCATCACTGCATTTTTTTTTCAATGCAGTGATAGATATATGTATATATAGAAACTGATGCAAACTTAAACAGTTTGCATCAGTTTCTATAGGTCTTATGTGCAACGCTGTGTTGTGACTTCAGGTCAGCAGTGTTTCTGATCACCAGCTGTTTAAAGGTTACCGACTCTTTGAGGCAGTGGCACCTGCCTGTTGGCCCAAGTCAGGCATTTGAGTTGACTTTGAACTCAAATACCTACTTTGAGGTATCTGAAAAAAGCTTCATATCTATGTCATCATAACCAAAGCAACACATGCTGAATACTGCTGTTAAAGGAGAAGCTCTCTCCTCTTCAAACTTAAGTCAGACTTAAGTTTGGTGCTTACTTGTCAAGTCTCCCATTTTGGCCATGAAACTGTACTTTACCCCTCTGTCCCGCAGTGCTCCTGTATTAGTATTGTCCCGTAAGTTTCCTGTATTATAGAAATTACATCACACATCCACCCCTTTGTATGTTACTGGATTAATTTGCTATATGTGTCTGTATATAAACTGTACTGCATAAAGAAACTGAACAGGAAAAAATACAAAAAGACCCAGTTGCTATAAGACACAAAAAAATGAGACTGGATGTATATTGCCTGGATGTTTAGGAATCCAGGCAACATACCCAAAGGTACACAAAAGACACATATTTTTGTACCTCTATATCTTAACATGCTTGAAAAGTAGGAAGAAGTAGGAAAAAGTAGGGAGAAGTAAGAAACTTATCAACTCCTACCCCATAAGCTCATTCCATATTTTCAGATGGACCGTCATCGCCAGAGGTATGAAATTAACGGTTTAAGATTGAAGGACATTCATGTGTTGAAATGGTCCAGTCACAGTCAAAACTAAAGTCAAATCTGACTTTAGTCTTGACTCAAGTCAAACCATTTTGGACAGGAGAATTGGAAAGTTTGTAAGACGAGATAATTAGGAACATTTCAACAGATTTAATGATTACTTCAAACTCCACTTTTGTTTTGAATTCTTTAATGTTTTCTACTAAACACATGGAGCCTGTTTTCAATCCACTTTTTGGAGCAAAAGCATTCTATCATAACATTCAATTCATATATGACAGAAATCTAATAACTATGTTGCATTTTTGCACTTTGTGACTCATTTTCATCCTCCAAAGCACACTGAACCAGTGATCTGAAAGGAAATGTAATTCAGAGAGCTGACATCACAACAAACTGCCCTTCAATGCATCTGATCTGATGTGACACCCACCCAGATTCACACACAGACAGACGCTGTGAAGCATATTTGGGGGTGTATGCCTGCACAGCATTTTCTGATCCATGCGGGGGCAGGGAGACCAGTGACTCACTAACTCATACTAACCTTTAAAACCTACCCCGTGCGTCAGATCATTCAGATCTCAGTGAAGGGCACATCTCGACATCACAGGTGGGAGAATAATATTTGTTGGATCTTTTGGAAAACGTATGAACAAAGATTTCTGTAACGTTGCCTAAATAACATGCTTTTTATTTGTTTTAAAGGTAGTCATTTGAGTGAGGAGCCAGCAGTCAGTTATGTGGGTCCTTGGGAAGATCAGGGAGAGCATGGAGAGCATTCCTCTGGAACTGAATCGTTACATTGGACAAAACGACGGGGATGCTTTTTTCTCCACAAAGACTGGCCTCTCGCAGAAACTTCACACAAACATCATTACTCCAGACAACATCCCCGAGTTCTGCCTCCCTCCACGGCTTTTCAAGAGACAGCCGATGCTAGAAACTGAGATGACCCAACTTCAGCAGGACAGCCATCAGCAGACACGAAAGAGCAGGCCGTCTTTCCAAGCTAAAATGAAGGATACGAAGGAAAAGGGTGAAGACCCTTTAGTGCCTCCGAAGGCTCCAAGGAAACCTTTGCCGTTCTCTGCAGAGTGTTACGGCCTGGCTGGGATCTACGAGAGTCCCAACACTAGAAGGAAAGAGTCTTTGTTCCATTCAAAACGGCCTGTATATGTGTTCGAAAGACGTGACCCTGCCACAAAACCCAGTCAATTAAAGGAGACAGCCCCATTGAAAAAAACCTTTTCAGGGTTTTTCCCACTCTTTGCATCCAAAAGCTTCTCAGAAGCAGCTAGCATGGAAGCTGAAACGCCTTCCAGTGCCAAATCACTCAGACGTGTCCCATCCAGAAGCCGGCGTCTTAAAGAAACTGTATCCTGCCCTTCGCTGATTGATAGCATGGAGAAAAGCAAGAAACCAAAGAAACTAGGTTTAAGTTTACCACCATCTTCCTGCAGACAGCTAACCAGTGATAAAAATCCACCCACCCTGTCCCCACCTGTTCTCCATCCACTGGACCTGCTCCACTGCCAGGAGAGACTGCAGCATGAACACACCCTTCCTTTGCAGGGCCCAGGTCGAGTTCGCCTCTCCACTGAGCACACCACATCCTCCAATGGTGCTTCCTCAATCTTTTTCACTGTCAGAGTGCGTGTGGTGTCTGTGGAGGGCTTGCTGGATGGAAGTCAACGACAAACTCTGAACTGTGCTGTGAGTTTGTGCCTGATGCCGGGGAAGCTGCAGCACCAGGAGAGCGCCACCGTCAGGAACTGCCGTCGACCCTTGTTCAATGAAGATTTCTACTTCACAGAGCTGAGCCACAATGATCTGACGAAGCTGCAGCTCCAGTTAAAAGTGATGGATAAGACTGCAGCGGGAGCTCTGAGGAGGGGAACAGTGATCGGGATGATCTGTAAACCTCTATCCAATCTGTTATCCTCTGAGGATCAGGTGTAAGATTGGATCTGAATCTTATAAGTTTAGTAAAAACAAAATTTTTCTTTGTCTATGATCATACTGCGATTGCACTTTGTCACCATTATTCATTTTTAGCCACTCTTAGTTGTATTAGCATTTCAGGTAGGTAGTATCGAAGTGAATGTAGGAATGGGGACACTAACCTAAAACGGAGGCTACTTGGACAATAATTAAATAGAAGGCTTTTTAAAAACAAACTGATGTAAGCACAATGTGGCACAGATGTATTTTAGGTGAAAACAACAAAAATGTTAACACACTGCACTTGTTATGCTATTTTGGTGATGTTATGATGTTTTTCTTTAGTAAATGTGTAAAAGTGAGTAATACAACATTATGTAACACCTTTGATGTAGTACATTTGTCATTATGGTTTTTCTGAGCATCACTACTCTTCTCAAGTATAAACTTACTTATTATCACTGCTGACAGGATATGGCATGAGTTTTTTTGTTTTGTTTTAATCTGTCAAAACAAAATACTCAGTAAAACAGAACAGCTACCAGACACTGAAAGTTGAAGATGTGTTGGAGAAAGAAGCTCAATAGGCGAGTCACTGCAAAATCAAAATAAATCCAGCTGGCCTTTGTATAACTTTGGCCATGAGAAGCTTAACTTGATCAATAGAGTCTTTTATTCCACCATCAATGTTAAATGTAGCTGTTTTTTGTTTCCGCATTTTTAAATTAAAATGCAAACTTATCTATGCTGACCAAATGTTCATTGCTGAGTCTGCAGAAGTGAAATCTTATAAAGCAAGGTCTAAGTGTTTGTTAGATTGTGTTCAGATTATAATGACATTTCTGACATTTTTATGGGTATGTTTCATACATACAAAAATAAGCGATGATATCAAGATGCTGCTCAAACCAGAATTCAAGACTTTTATAAAAAAAAATACAAGACTAGAATAAAGAGAAAAAAATGTATCTAAGACAATAAAAAATTAGGCTTTCTTGAAATTTATTTTCTTCCTAGATTGTTATAGAAGAAAACATTCACCTGATTGTACATCTCGGTTTGCATGGCTTGGTTGCAGAAAATGTATGAGTGATGTTTGCTTTGTTTTATTTCATTAATAAAGATAAGGAGAATTATGTTAATTAATGTTGTAAATCTTTTTTCACATTCCTTCAAATCTTCAACTAAGATTTGAGTGTATGGCAATATATTTCATCATATAATAGCTTGACAGAATCTTTAGCTTCTGCAGATCATATTTTTTGCAATAAATGGAACAAAAAGTATTCCTGACATGAGAAAGTGAAAATAATGTAGTATAAATCATAGTATAGATATTTTTGGTTATAGGAACAATTAAAAACCCTTTCGATAGCCTTAAGTCGTCAAAATTGGGTGTCTTTAATTATATGCTACAACAACCTGCCATAAAACGTTCTCCTTCAGTTACGGCGTGACGTAACCACCTCCCTGATGGACGTCTGAAACTGACGTTGAGTCAGCTTCAAGAAGTCCACTATATGTAAACATGGTTAAACACAGATGAAAACAGCGTCAAAATGGTCTTTGAAAGTGTGGTCGTTGACGTCCTCAACCGTTTTTTAGGGGACTACGTTGTGAACCTTGACAGCTCGCAGCTGAAGCTTGGCATATGGGGAGGTAACCGAACTTGTGTTTGTCTTTCATCAGAACACCTTTCCATGCTAGCATGCTACATGCTAATGAACGTTCGCCACACCAGTCCTGTGTTCAGGGAGGCTCTCCCAGCTGTCAGTGTCACTTTCCTTTCTCTAAATGTCTCTCATTAGTTTATTAGAACCGCTGGGTGATTTTGATGAAAGAAAATGCACCTTTATGTTTTTACTGCAGACATTGTCTCTTGTTATTTTATTTAACTGGGGTTGTATTTACCTTTGGACTTTAAAGTTTCTGTGAATGGATCAGTTCATGGTTCCGCCCTTTTTGGGAACCAGGTTAAGGCTTGCCTCAGGTTTATTCCGAGTATTTTCATAGTGTTACCAAGAACCTGTCGGAGACATAATAGGGTTAGAAAATGTATTTACAGTTGATTAAACGGCACATTGTTGTTTTTAATTATTTTTAAATATTTTCTACTTTCCAAGTTGGCAGTCTACATTTTCATCTACAGTCCTCTATTGCAAACCTCGTGTAGAGATGAAACAAGACATTTAGAGAAGCTTCGTAAACAGATATAATTGCTTTTCCACTATCTGACCTGAAATCAGGCTAAACCTTTCCTGTTTATGTGAGGTCAAATTCAGTAACTAGAAGTACTTCTACCTCCTAAATGTTAAAATAATGAAAGAGATTTTTAAAATTCTTTTCTTGAACGTCGGAAATTTACCTACTCTAAAGTTATTATGCCTTTAACCTCGAAAAGCCCAGATGATGTTGTCATTAGTTTGAAAGCTTGTCATTGCAGGTTAAATCAGAACCTTTGAGGCACATCTGAGGATGTTTTTAGGGCATGTCTTAAACACTTCGTTCTTGTGAGACATTGTGTAAAAATCAAAAGAATCTATCCAAGAGCTTCTGTAAAATTGTGGGTCTCCAGCTGAAAGACTGTGCATCGTCTATCTGTTCAAACAATTACATCTGAGTACAAACACCATTAATTACACCTGAATTACATCCTTGGTATGTCATTAAGTTTTGTAAAGCCAGGTCACTTAATCCAGGTGTGTTGGAGGACAGTGGCAATGAGGACTGGAGTTGTGGACCCCTGTTATAATGAATGTAGAAAGGCGGAGAACACCTTTCCAACTTTGACATATGGAAGTGGCAGTATCATGCTGTGTAGGTGTAATTCCTAAACTAGATGGCATCATCACTAGAGATATTTTGTGTAAATATCTATGCAACATTTCAAGATATCTGCCAGAAAGTTAAATGATGCGAGAAACTTGTGAACGGATACCCTCAACGTTTGACCCAAAAATCATATTTAAAGGGAATTTTACCAAATACTAATTAAGTGTAGACAATTTTCAAGAAAGTAGAAATATTGTTATTTTGACATTTAGTAAATAATCTTATTAATAATAAAATGTGAGACTGATTTCATGCCAGACGGTTAATAATATTTACATATTCTTATTCAGTGGATGCAGATATCTGTTTTTAAAGGCATGCGTTTTGTGAGGGGTTGTGCTCCACAGTTAGTATTGGATGAGAGCAGTGAACAGTGACTAAATGCTACATATATGAGCCTAATATCAAACAGTAGTTTGTTGTGTCTGTATGTAAAATATTTCTGTCATTGTAGGTGATGCTGTGCTGAAAAATCTTGAAATAAAGGAAAATGCCTTGGTGAGCTAAATATAACTTGCCTAGTGTTACACTCTGAAGCTGATGATTTCTTTGAGTATGATTGGACTTTTCTATTTCTGTTTTGCAGAGTCAGCTTGATCTCCCTTTTAAAGTGAGAGCTGGTCACATAGGTAAATTTACTACCTCTGTGTGATGCTGTTTGCATCCCTCTTTTTTTTAAATGAGCATTTTCTTATTTGGTGTTTTTTTTCTTAAAAGGACGTCTCGAGTTAAAAATTCCCTGGACGGACATCTACAACCAGTCAGTGGAGGCCACGCTAGACGGAGTCTATCTGCTAATCGTGCCCACAGCAAGTAAGATCGCCGTCTAAGTACTGGCATCAAAACGCAGTGAAGGCATACCATAAGGCTTTACATTTTGATAAAAAAGATATTAGTATTAGTGGTAGTAAAACATTCTTTTCATTAGTAGTTTTTCAAAGGCAAAAATAAATAAAATTCTACAAATATAAGGTGTAATCAGCAACAGTTAACAGAGAAGTCTTTTGTGAGCCAAATATGTGTATCACAGAAGGGGGATAAAGCAGAGAAATAAAAAAAAAGAGTAAAAAGTGAATTTTAAAAGTGTTAAAAGTAAGCAGCAGACATGAAGACATTTGAAAACAAGTCATAAAATATTTAAATCACTTCAAGATACAGGAAGCCAGTGGAAGGATTTAATTGTTGGAGTAATGCTTTCTCTCCTTGTGTTGAAATTGAGCAGTAGAGTCGACAGATGTCTTAAGACAGCAATGCAGTGATCCAGGTTAAATGACACAACAAGTGATTCTTTTGTTTCTTTACCTTCATTTCTTGTAAATTACTTTAAATTACTGTATGTATGACTAGTTCTGTCTTGCCTTGCCTTTGCAAAGCATGCTCTCAACATTAGTAATATTGTGCACGTCTCAATATTTAATGTATGTGACAATTGAAGCTCAGGTCACTTCCAAAACTTAATCCAAGGTGTCTAACCTCTTTTTCCTCCTTTAAAAAAGAGATTTTTTAAATAAATAATTATATCCCTATTTTAAATATCATTTCCTCTAGCAATAATGTAATTTATGTGTTTGTCAAACTGTGAAAAAGTTACATCATTTTCACAGTCGAGTCTCTCAAATGGTAGATTTGAGAGACTTGATTGATTTTTCTTTTCTTCTGTTTTTAGGAGCAGCCTTACAACAGACAATTCTACTAAATGCTGTGTCAATTTCTTGCTGTAATAAGATATCAATAATAGTTAAACCATCTAAAAATATTTAAACCTTGACAATAATATGTCTGAGTCACTTGTTATTTGTTCATATTAATAAATTCCACAACCAGTTTATGCTTTAGTATCAGGTTTTAATCATTAATGAACACAGAAGTATTTCAACAGGCACACTGCCTACTTGTGCCCAATATACACCTCCCTATAATTTATCCCAGTATTGGTGACATGTAAGATAACACCTGTTTTATATTTAATATAATATTTTTGTGGCGTGCCATTTGATTCCAGGTATAAAGTATGATGCAGAAAAGGAGGAGAAGCAGCTACAGGAGGCTCGTCAGAGGGAGCTCGATCGAATAGAGGAGACAAAACTCAAGGCTGCAGAACAAGGTCAGAGTTCAACTTCGACTCTTAAAGAGAGATGTGAGATAAGCAGCAGCATGCAGCTGCTTATCTCCTTAAGGCTACTACTTTTAATTAGAAATTTAGGCTACATGTTGTTTGAGCAGCATTTGTCTTGTGTTTTTACAGATGCTATAGATCATAATAGCAATTTACAGCTAATGTAACAAACCTCAGAATGTAAATCCTCGACTGCAAATATATACAAACCCAGTTCCAATGAAGTTGGGACGTTGTGTAAAGCACTCAAAAAAACAGAATACAATAATTAATAAATCCTTTTGTACCTATATACAATTTGTAGTTGATTTGAAGCAATAGTTTTGTAAAACCTTGGGAAACTTTGAGATTGGTAACTGGCCCGTTCCAGTGAAGAGGTTTTTGACGTCATTATTTTAGTTTCACCTGCCAGGTTGAAGGTAAAACCTGACAGAAAAAAAAATATTCAGAACAAATACTCAAAATTGTTTGTGTTTTCACAGAGAACACAAAGCTAGAGAAGCAGGACACCTTTGTGGAAAAGCTTGTCACACAAGTGATCAAAAACCTACAGGTCAAGATCTCCAACATCCATGTTCGCTATGAGGATGATGTGAGTATTTCAGCTAAATATTAGTAAAAATAACTTTAATTCTCTACAATGGCTTGCAGGGATGTTAATAACAATGTGTGTGTTTGTCTCCTCAGATCACTAATCCAAACTGCCCTTTGTCATTTGGAGTGTCGCTTAAAAACCTCAGCCTTCAAGTAATTTGTTATTTCTTTTGTTATAATATAATATAATATAATATAATATAATATAATATAATATATGCTTTTACAGACAGCTGATAATCACTGGAAACCCAGTTTGCTAGATGAACACTCCAAGCTTTTCTTCAAGGTAAGAAATTGTACTAAACTTTTTTCCGTCACGTTTAAACGTATATTTCTAGGAAGTGCTTCTTGTGTTGTTCTGCGTACTATTTGCTAACCTCTATAATTCCAACCAGTCAGTTTAGTTCTCAGAAACATTTTTTTATTTTATATTGGCTCTGGGCACGGGACCAAAGCTCTAGATGTCATCTCTATGCATCATCATCAGTGAACACGTCCGTCACTCCTCATGACTAAGTTGTTTGTATTTTGCCTGTCATCAGTTGGTTCAGTTGAACAACTTGTTTGCCTACTGGAATGTCAACTCGGTTCTCTTCTCCAATCACAGTCCAAATGAGGCCCTGGTGAGTCACTGGATTGTCTTTACCTGCTCGACTTTGCACAGTTGAAATGCCTTTTGCAAATGATATGAAAACCTTTTGTTTGATCTTTAGGAAAAGACTGATGTGAAACTAGGATGTAAAAAAAGAAATAAGAAATCACATTAATAGAGATGTTGTTTTCCGATTTTATAGCGATGTCTGCAGAACAGCATGGAGATCAAACCCTCTGTTCCTGTCAGCCATGACTTCAGTGAGTGAGCCACTGCCTCCTGTTTTGTAATATATTTACAGTTCATCTGATGAAACCTAGCAAAGTTATCTTTTGAGATTATTTCTTCAGTCTGCATCTGATATGTGGTACCACATATACCACAAACTCTAATGTACTGTGCTCAGATTTTATGTGATAGACTAGCACAGAACTGTAACCAAATATACTTTTCTAAAATTTGTGGTGATAACGTACCAAAATTTAAAAAAACTTTTAAGACAAATAAGCACTTTTGGAAAGCACTGTATGTGTATATAACAAACATTTAATCACTACCACTATATCCAGAGATTATAAGCAAATATCATAAACATTATTTTTGTGACTTTCCCTTCTACCCCTAGTATAAATTTTATAAATTGATTATTCTTGTAAAAGAGAAAAAGAGGAAATATATTCCATATGGTTAGAAATACATGCCCTTTATTTATACAACATCAACTGTGCTAAAAAAAATAAAAAAAAATAGTTTCCTTTTGCCGGTTTCCAGTCTTTCGTCCTATATCTGCAAATGCAAAACTGCGAATGAATCCAAGATCAGACGTGGATTTCTCTTCTCCTAAAGTGGACCTGATGGTCAACCTCAGCGAAGTGGCTATTGAACTCAACAAGCCTCAGGTTAGTCTCTATTCAGGCCAGGTCTGTTGAATTTGACTGGAAAATCCTAAGGCAAATAAAGACGTTTAAGGTAAACAACACTGGATGATGAGAGCGCTCTCTGCTGCTTTGTAATCACCGGCTTCCTGTCTTTCCAGTACATTAGCATTTTGGAGCTGCTGGGCTCAGTGGATATGATGTCACGAAATCTGCCATACAGGAAGTACAGACCCGAGGTCCACGTTCACAGAAATGCTCACATATGGTCAGAATACATCTGAGTGCTTTTTACCACCACTGCCTGCTGCACACCTACTTTTACTGACACAAATGCTTTTATGTTCCTGGATTTCAGGTGGAAATATGTGATCACAGGCATCTTGGAGGTGGATGTGAAGCCTCATCTCCACATGTGGTCCTGGCAACACATCCGGTGCCACCGGGAAACAGTGAAGTGTTACAGAGAGCTCTACAAGAAGAAGATCACCAGCAAAAAGCCCAGTGTGGAGCTGCTCGAAAAGCTGCAGGTGGGACAGGGATGAACTGCGTTTAAATTAGTTTTTAACTTCTAATGGGGGATTGCTTGAGGAAAAGTTCAAGCTTTGTCTTCGTAGAATAAAATGCACAGCTGAGTAATTTTTTGATTTTGATGTATAGTTGATGCTCATACATTCTTTTTTTTTTTTTTTGCTGAGTTGTTGCCTTAGTTTATCACAATTTATTTAAAAAATAACATTTGATTAATGCTTATTTATTGCAATAATTAGATTAAAAAGAGTTTTAATTATGATGCTTTTCGTTATGCCCAGGCTACACAGAAATCTTTAGATATTTTCAACATCACATTGGCGAGACAACAAGCTGAAGTGGAGGTAAGAACCTGGTTTTTTTTTTATATTTGTCATTTTCTGACAGGTACAATCTGTATCTATTCTGGAATTTCCATTAATTCATTGCAGCTGTGATCATCTGCTTTATAAAACTTCCTTAGACTCTAAAATTAGAGAAATATTTTCCGGTCGTGTGAGACACTTGATGCAACTCCCTCTTGTTGACATGTGTAGATTTTCTCACATGCACTCATCAGGCATAACATCATGACCAGCAAACAGCTCCTACTGTTTGCTTCAGTAGGAGCAAACAGAAATTGGCTCTGTTTGCTCCTACTGAAGAGCAATGTTACATAGACTATAAATTTGGTTTTGTTTCAGAGTTTTATTATGCTTTTTCCGCAGGCGAGCAAAGCAGGACTGCGCATTTATCGTCCAGGGAAACAGATGGAGGAGGAGGAGTCTCAGGGTTGGTTTAGCTGGATGTGGAATTGGGGAGGAGAAGCTGAGGCACAGACCAAGGAGGTCAAGACTGGAAGTAAGTCTCAAAACCAAACATTGAGTAGGGCACTGGAGGGGAGCAGAAGTTGAAGTTAGAAGCCTGGCAAAAGTGTCGGATATATAATTTTGTCTGTAAGGATTTTTTTTTTAATGCCACTGCCTTCTTACATTTTGTCTCTCTCATTTTCTTTGTGTCAGCATTTGATGGGTTGTTTACTGTGGATGAGAAAGCCAAACTTTACACTGCCATCGGATACAGTGAAACTGCAGCAAACCCCAACCTGCCAAAGAACGTGAGTCACTTCCCTCTGAAATCACCTCACTTGTTTGTGATGGTTGGGCTTTTTCAGAAGAATATCAAAACTACCTTAGAGAGCTAAGTGTGTTAGCAGCCCTTTTAAAACAGTTGTCAAATTCAACTTCTTTTGAAAGAAAATTCAAATAGTTGTAAAATAATGCTATAAGCATCTGTGTATGTTAAGATGAAGACAGACTCGGCATGTAACATCTAAACATGTTACATCTGTTTCTCAAATTCTCTCAAATTACATTTAAATTCTCTCAAGTTAAATTTAAAGCTCTAAAAATGAACATTACAATGGGACATTCAACCAGTAACATGTGATTGTTTATTTTCTATTCACCTTTTAGAGTAAATATTAGTTTTTGTACAGTCTTTATTCAGCCTGAATGCCACTTGGTTATTGTCGAATTTAATATTTTTACCATTAACATAAACACCAGAGAAGAAACACTCTTCTAAACTAGCACAATCATTTTAGTTAAACGTTAATCAAGCGACCGCAGTTAAAACTGGAGCAGCTGGAGACTGACAGAAACGTGTGCATCCTTGATAAAAATCTTAACTGTTATGTCATTGCTTTTAGTTTGAGGACATGAAGGTCAATTTCCACATGGAAAAACTGTCTGTGTCCATCAAAGACGAGAAGGACAAAAACGAAATCATCAAACTGACTGTGGGGGAGCTCAAGTCCACACTCACACAGAGACCCGGAGCACAAGCCATTAAGTAAGTGAAAGCTTTTATTTTGTTCTCATTTGTATTCGTTCTACTTCAAATTATCTTTCTGTGATTTTAATTTATCTGAAAGCCTGATCAGATTGTTTTTCTGTTGGACCTTTTTTATTAGAGTCACAGCCCAGCTTAGTTTGTTTGAGGTCACTGGTCTGGCCGCTAAGCGTCCGGCACCGACCCTCCTTTCATCAAGAAAGGCGGCCACAGGAGCAGGAACCCCGCTGCTTTGCTTCCTGTTTGAGACCAACCCGCTGGATGACAGCGCCAACCAGAGGCTCCATGTTGAGTCACAACCACTGGAGATCATCTATGATGCAGTGAGTGATGCTTTCCAGACTGCTGGTGTGTGTGTGTGTGTGTGTGTGTGTGTGTGTGTGTGTGTGTGTGTGTGTGTGTGTGTGTGTGCGTGTGCGTGCAACATCATTACCGTCACCTATGGTTTTTCCCATGCTGTTACGTCTTATCCGGAAATGTGAATTAATTTTATGTGACACACCAGCATAAAGCAATGCATAATTATGAAGTGGAATCATAACGATTGATACTCCTGACTAAACACTTTGTAGGTTCACCTATTGCTGCAATTACAGTTGCAAGTGTTTTTGAGTATGTTTCTACCGGTTTTGCATGCAGATGGATAGATAGCACATGTCCACAAAAATTTTGAAGTCTTACCACGTATTCTCAAATTGATTTATTTCAGACCTTTGACTAGGCCAGTCTTGTTTTCTTCCTTAATACTTCTTTAGGGACTTCCCTATATTTAGTTACCCTCATAATTTTGATATTGACCAGCTTGTTTGTTTCTGTTGAAGAACAACAACAGCAGCATGATCCTGTTCAGGAAGATGCACTATGTTGGTTTTCTGCATGGCACAACTTTTTGCATTATGGCTTTTTTTTTTCAAGAGAAAGAAGATGGAGCATAGCGCTTTGCTTCTGACCTGTCTGCTTTGTTCCTTGCTCTTCAGGATCCTGGTTGTTCACAAACTGTATCAAAAGGCCCTTTGTTACTTTCACAGACCAACTGTATTGAAGAGATTTGATTGTATAGTGGTGCAGTCATTTCTAAAGGAATTGGGTTCTCTAGATTTCATTTAGGAATTTAAAGAGTAAAAAGGCCCAAATGCAGATTTTTGCTGCACTTCATATTTTTATTTATAAGCCATTTTCATTAGCCATGGATCCTTTGCCGTCCACTTTGAGATTATCTGCTGCCTTGTGCTGATGTATCACAGAAAATCCTAAATACTCAACATTGAAGCCAGTCATTTTATTGTGAGAACATGTGGAACAGTTCAAGCTGTATTCAAACCTTCGTCAGGTAGTGTAATAAGTCTGTTTATTAAGTGTTTTTGGTCTTTTTATGTAGATAACGGTGAACAACATGTCAGAGTTCTTCAGGCCTCCAGATGACCTGCAGCTGGATGAGCTCACCAACGCCACCCTGATGAAACTGGAGCAGTTCAGAGACCGCACTGCCACTGGTGAGTCGCACATATATTCACAAATATATGGGAATAGTCTGATCCCAGCTCTCTGATGGTTGCATGTTTTCATTCCTTTTTTTCAGCTGAATTTTGTGTTTGTGGTGTCTACAGACACTAAGCATGTCTAAGCATTGAACAAACTCAGCATTCAGATGATATGATTCCTGTTTATTTTCTTTACAATGCTATCTTATGGCTGTTGCAAGTTATTGTTTTCTTTTTTCATCCAATCATTTCTTCAGTCTTTATGTTCTTCATTTAGTTATCACATCATCACTCTGATTCATCCTTCAATCCTGCTTTCTTTACTTCCTTGCTCAGTCCTTCAGTTTTTCTTTTCTACCTTCAACCCTTCCCTATTTTATTCAACACTTACATCCATCAGCCAAGCATTCTGTCCTTCTTTCTTTCCTTCTATCCTACATTCCTTTCCTTCATTAAGTCTGTTCTTTTTTCCTTCCATAAAACTGTACATCATCTTACACCCCCTTGATTTGGGGGTGTAAGATGATGTAGACTAACTGAGTTAGTTTAACATTAGTTAGTTTAGTTAATGTTAGTTTAGTTAAAAACTAACTCAGTTTAACATTAAACTAACCAAATAAACAAATATATCATTCTTTCTTTTCCATTCCTCTTACATAAGAGTAATACAAAACCTCATTGTGTTGAGTCATGTAAATATTTCCAAGTACAGGACACTGAATACTAAATTTGTTCTGTCATTTTTAATAAAATCCATCTTTCCTTCCTTCTAGTTATCCATAACATTTTTTTCATAGTAATAAAAAAAGCAGTATGAATCAAAACTACCTTTACATTATTTTTAAACTCTTTAAGCTTTGAGCAGTGAGTAATGAACTGATTGTTTCATCGTTTAGGTTTACTGTACGTGATCGAAACTCAGAAAGTTCTCGACCTGAAGGTGAACTTGATGGCCTCCTACGTCATCATTCCACAGACCGGCTTTTACGAAGGAACCCAGAACATTATGCTTTTGGATCTTGGTCATTTCAGGGTCAGAAGATGTCAAAAAAAAAAAAAATAAATAAATAAATCTAAAGCTGAGTAAATGTGACTGAAAGAGCAGATTTGAACTTCCTCTTCTATGGCTTTTAGATGTCCAGTTTGAGCAAGAAGGATCTGCCGCAGCTGTCAGTGGGTTCCAGCAAAATTGAAGACATCATGTCCAGAGCGTACGACCACTTCGATGTTCAGCTCAGCAGCCTGCAGCTGCTTTACAGCAAACCAGGTACTCACAGCAGAAACAAGTAAATCCTTCATTTCGTCACCATTCGTCATCTTCCAGTCACATACATCAGGATATACCAACATTTTAATAAGTTACCATTTTAAAACGTTTTACATTTACCCTTTAAAAGTTCCTACACTTGAAAGTCCTTTTACATAAGGTATCAGAGAATGTGCCAGTGGATTCAGAATCTCCCCCATCTGTTTCTGTGCTCCGCCACTATCTTGGCTTAAATGAGGTTACATACATTAACTTGACTATTTGGAAGGAAAAGATACAGATAATGATAAAGTCCAAACCCAGCTGCCTGTAGCATCCAAAGAGCCCCAAATGCCATGTGAGTGTTTGTTTCTGCAGACATGCAGCTGTACACCTGTACTGTCTGATAAAAGACCAGCTAGTTCCAGGGTTTACAGTGTGCAAATGTCAAACCTAAGTTCTGTAGTGCATTATAGGAAAGTATGCACACTGTGTTGTCTATGTTTATTAACGCTGGTCCCTCAAGACCCATTGTATATTTGTAAAATCGAATTTTGGTCACAGAGTTGAAAATAAAATGTTTTTAAATATTTAATAGAGTAAAGAGACATATGTAGATGTTTTTATCTTTCATAAAACACACCAGACATGTTCAAAACAGTGACTTTAAAATCTTAAGGGGTGTATGTTACACCACTGCTTAAAAATATTTTTAGTTCTGAAAAACATGTAAAGCCATGACGTGGAAACACACAGTCACTCTTCTTAATCAGTGAATATCAGCTTTTTCTCTTACCCTACAAAACCAGAACAGCTTACTATACATAGCATATGTGTTGAATCAGGAGAAAAATAAAGAGGCTGTGATTATCTGCAGATGGTGACTGGAAAATAGCTCGCAAACAGAAACGGTCTCCACTCCACATTCTGGAGCCTGTGGATATGAAAGTGGTTGTCAGCAGAGCCATGGTTGTGACCGACACACGTATGGCAAAGTAAGTGTGCAGTTCTCTTCGCTATACAGTAAAGAGGTGAGCTGTTTGTTGTGTACTCACAGATGATAAGATTATATTTAAACCCGGCAGCAGGAAACAGTGCAGAATTACAAGATTGGAGGAAAATAAAATATATTTTATGTATTGCTAAATATGCTTTGTCAACCACACTGTCAGTCTGGCTGCAGGTTTTGTCATTTTGTTACAATTCTTGTGTTTTAGGTATAAAATGTCTGGTGAACTCCCGCTGTTGTCGCTTCGAATTTCTGACAACAAACTCCGAAGTGTTCTGGAGCTGGTGGACAGCATCCCACTGCCTGAGAGCAGACCTGCAGCCCGCAGCACCGCTTCATCTACAAGGGTAAGAGCAAATCAGCTACCTGGGGGGAACACTAACTCTTTTGGGAAAGTCTTTGCTGTCATTTTTTAATAACTAGCCTGTTATTGAGATGAGCCCTATCGATTTTTTTATGCGTTTGCTTCCTCAGCCGAAGCAGTCGTTCACTCCTCAGCTCGCTGCGAGAAAACACCTGAGTTTAGTCGACCAGCGTTCCTCGATCATTTTTGAGTCTTGTGAGACCATCAGCATCGCCTCTCTGGGTGAGACACAGCAGGAAACTCCTGAACAATTAGCAACATTATACTCTGACGCAACAAGTTACTCTAGCAGATTTCACTTCACATGAAAAAAAAAAAAAAAAAAAAAATCTGAAATCCCAGCTTACATTACCATCTGCATATAAAGGTGAACTTCTTCCACACTATGTAAAAAAAAAAAAATAATGTAACTGACTAATGTAGTTTTCTTTTTTTTTTGTAAATCTGATAGGGTCACAGGAAGATTTGTTCTATGACGCCCCCAGCTCTCCGATTGGAGACAAGGCGTTCTTCCCGGACAATCCCATGCCGCTGCGCTACGCCGATTTAAGCAAAAGAACGAATCTCATCAAAGAAGATCCTCAGAAGAACATGACTGACTTCATTATGAGATTCGAGATCAATGAGGTAAAAACGATTTTGCAAAACCATTAGGTAATTTGAGGTTTTTGCTACAGAGAAGTTTTATAATAATTGACATTCAACACTGGTAAAAAGCAGGTGCATGATTAGAACATTCTTAAATTAATGTGAACTGCTAGGTAACGCCTTATATAGTAAATCTGCAAAACAATTTTTCCATTACTTTCTCCTGTACCAGTAATCTTGCATGCTTATAGTGAATATTTATTCTTGAACGTCGCCCTGGCTTTGTAAGACACCTTTTAAAGGTTGGTGTTATTTGTGTAACATATGTCTTCTTTGTCCTCTCATTTGTTCTTCCATGTTTCAGTTGTCTGTTCAGCTCTGTCGTCTGTCTGGAGCTCAGGAGATCGTCGTTCTCCAACTGGACATTGAGGGTCTGGGCACTGAGCTGACGCTGCGCACCTTCGACATGATGTCAAACACCTTCCTGCGCGAGATCTGCCTGAAGTGTCCCGAATACATGGGTCAGTAAATGATTCACTCAACTTTATGTCAAAACTAACAACTAGATATTAGTTATAGTGTTATCTGATGCTTTGTTTCAATCCTCTGTGTAGATTCTGAAGATAAGCAAGTCCAGCTGATCACCACCTTAGACAACTCAGAAGTTGACCTTCTCACCTTGGAGTATATCAAAGTACTTTGTTCCACTCACATTAAAGCAGAATAAATTCAGTTGAAGCCAGATGTTTACATACACGGTATACAGAGACTCAACCTTTTCTTTTTAGTGTCTGAATTTAAATTGGACTAAACTTTTCTGTCAAACAAATTTCCAGCCTGCTGAGTAGGACGTTTGTGGAGGGAAAACCAAAACATGTTACCAAAGTCATACAGCTTACAAAACAAATTTTACCAAATATTAAGGATCCTGTACGTTGACATCTGAATAAAAACAAGTACATTTCAAAATCTATTTACCAAATAAATTTAATTGTCGTAGTCACAAATGAGACTGGAAAAGTTTAGTCTGATTTAGTAATTTAAAAAAAAAATTGTGTCCTATTATACAGTGTGTGCAACATCTGTTTTCAATTGTATGTTCAAAACAGTAATAAACAATATTGTTATTAATTGTGTCTTCCTTCTAGGCGGATAAAAATGGTCCTGAGTTTAAGTCTCAGCATAACAACACAGAGCAACTCATTAAGGTGAGAAATAAATAGAAGACAAACATTTGTTTTTCAAATGTTATACAGTAAATATGTTCAAAATGCTCAGTTATGAACTCAAGTTTTGATGCACTTTCATTAAACAGCTAAATGTAAACATTGACCATAAAAGTTAATTTTGACACCCATCAGAAATGAAAAGAATTGCAAGATTATCTCATCATCTGAAGTGACATAATTTTATACAATTATCACATAGTTCATCTGATCTGCACCAAAGCCAAAAATAAAGAGCAATGAGAACATGGTGCTCATTAACCTGCTTAAAAACTGGCACTTTTTGGTTTGATCCATTTAATGAACAGGGAAAAAAAAGGATTTTCATCAGTATTTGATCTGTTGATCGTTAAATTAAAACTGGTTGATTGATTGGTGTATGTCTAATTTTTGAGCATAAATTGTCCCCTTATTACAGAGTTTGTCATTTTATCAAAATTCTTGACTAAAACTGTCTCCTTGTCAGGTGACGTTTTCGTCTTTGGACGTTCATCTGCACACGGAGGCTCTCCTCAACACCATGAGCTTCCTCGGTAACCTCCTTCCTCCATCCAGTAAGAAGGAAGGAGGGCCAGAGGAGCTGCCCACCATCCCAGAGGAAGAGGAGGCTGAGGCAGGGAAAGAGGAGGAGAAGAAGGGGGAAACAGCTGTAACCAAGAAAAGAAGTATGTACTTTTACACATTGTAATGTGAAAAAAATATAGAAAAAAATATTGCTGAAAAAAAATATTGCTGAATATCTTTCATATGCTGTATTGAAAGTATCGCCAAGTGTTGTTTGTTTCATTTTAGTGTTCAGGCTTCCCTCTGTAATCCCTCGATCTTCTTTTTTCAGCCTCTAGAAGCTCAAAGTTTGCAGACGTGGTGAATCTTCGCGTGAGAGCCGATCTGCGCTGCTTGAAGGTGTTCATTCGGGGACAGAAAGCTCGGATATCAGAGATAAGTATTGAAGGTATGTGAGAAATTGCATTACACAGTAGTACTCCAGATGCCTTCCTTAAATCCAAATGCCTTCCTTAAATTTGTTTTATTGTATTAGATGACGAGAAATCCTCTTTAGGTACAGATTTTTTATTTTTGTTTTCTTTTTATTAATTTACTACAAGTTTTCTGTTGACTCAGCTAGCTTAGCTTTCTTAATATCTTCTGGTTTTGCTTTTGCAAATAAATTGTTCTCAGTGTGTCATTGTCTTGACTCCTCAGGTCTGGTTACTGATGTCATGATGAGGAAGAAGAACATGGAGATCCTAGCCAACCTAAAGAGCATTGTGATCCTGGACTGCAACAAGGATGCCTTGTACAAGAAGGTACATGCTGTAGTTGACTTTTCTGGCATTTTTATTTCTGTATTGCTCTTATAGAGAAGCATGAACATAAATCTCTCAGGATATTTTAAATTATTATGGTAAACAGGCGTAATTTGAGATTACACCTGTTTTAACCTGAGATTACACAGGGCCTAAATTCTGTCACCAGCTCATTTCTCTCCATAGCTGTACTGTCAGGCCGACTGAATTGCAAATTTTTCAGTTCACTTCTTCTTATACATCTACTTTGTCCCCTGTAGGTCACTGATTACTTACAGTTTCCTTCTATACAGTTTTATGTAAATCTTTTCTGTTATATTTCCCTTCGTTTCAGGCTGTCTCTATTGCAGATAAGCAAGTTTTTGCCTTCAGGATGTTGAACCACACAGGGGCAACAGAAGGAGACGCCTACCTCGACATGTCCAAAGTTGACACGTCTGTCACACTGGAAGTCGGCTGCATTGAGGTCATTTTCCTCAACAAGTTTGTCTCCTCCATTCTGGTAAGGATCACTTCACTCTGAACTGATCTTGGGTTCGACTAGAGCATCATTACTGGATTTAAAGTTACTCTCCACTTATTCTTCCTTTCAGGTATTCATTAATAATTTCCAGGAGGCGAAAGAAGCCCTCGCTGAGGTGACGGTTCAGGCTGCAGAAAAGGCAGCCTCTGGTGTGAAGGGGCTGGCAGAGAGAAGCACTCGAATCGCTCTCGACGTCCACTTCAACGCGCCTGTGATTTTCCTCCCCCAGTCTTCCTCCTCTTCAAACGTCATCGTTGCCGATCTTGGCTTCTTGTCCGTAAATAACCGCTTCATCAAGCAGCCGTTTAAGGGCGACGCTGCAATCCCGCCGGTTGTGGATAAAATGACCGTGAAACTGACTGACCTCAAGATGTACAGGTCTGAGCCGAAAGTGTGACTGCCCACAGATGGAGTTTACACACATCCGGTATTTTTTATTCATCATTTTAAAGAACTGTTGTGATGCTTTTGCTTTCAGAACCACTTATAAAAATGGGAAATTCGAAGGCGAGACTCAGCTGCTGAAGCCGGTCAGCCTGGACCTGGAAATCCAACGAAATCTTTCGGCCAATTGGTACCACAGCATCCCTGATGTAGAGATCACTGCTCATCTAAAGCCTATGAGTGTAAGCATCAAATAATAATTGATCAGAAATTAATTACTCATAATTCAGTATATTCACACAGGGTGAATATACTTTATTTCAGAAGTTACCGTCAGTTTCAAGCTTACGTTGAAAAATATGAATTATTAAAATGTTTTCTGTTTGATTATGTTCCATGTTTGCTCCTGACAGCTGATCCTCTGCCAGGATGACATGATTGTTGTCCTGAGGACTTTGAGCGAGAATCTGTCAGAGAAGTCCGAAGCTGTTCAGCCTCCAGCTGTTCTGCCCACGCCGGACCACTCCTCTGATTCTGTGTCCAACAAAGAGTCCCAGGGCTCAGGAACCACCGGACCTACCAGCTGTAAGATTATGCCATTGTTTCTGAAAGTGTAACAGTTTAAAAAATATCTGCTTACTTGAGTTATAAGTCCCTAAAAACAGGCAAGTGCAGTACACGTCGTTAAGAATGCTGTGTCGTGTGTAAATAAATAAACTTGATTTGAAATTTTAACATTATGAGCATTTGTACGATCGGTTGGGTAGGTTATTGTCACCATCATAAGATCCCCTGATAGATTCTGAAATCTGAGAGGGTGAATATTATTTTCTGTTCACCGTTTTAACCCGTTGCGATATTTACGTTACAGCAGGCAACACGGTGGTGATAGCTGCTGTGGTCGAGACCCAGAAACACAGCAAGCTCAAGACGACGCTCAAGCTGAGCTTCAAGTTCGACTCCATGACGCTGGTTCTGTTCACCCCTAATGAGAATGTGGTATGTAGACACTGATACACACATGAAAACAATTACATCTGATTACAGTTTGGACGTCCTTGATTTACAGACTGGATAAAGATTGAATTTTTGAGATTCAGATGGGTCAGTCACTGGTTCAGGTTGATCAAACTGAAAATGATCTGGTGCAGATTCCTTTGTGCATCTCTAATAAATTCTCTATTTATCTCTCTTGTAACTTAATGTGAACCAAGATCCCAATTTAAACAACATACTTTGATTTGTTTTATAGATACAACACTTAGACTGCCATGATGAACAGCTGAAGTTGGCAGAGTTTACTCTGGGTACCATCTCCACTTCTGTCCACATGTTCTCTGACAGCTCCATGAAGGCATCGGTTCGACTCTCTACGTGCCTCCTAGATGACAAGAGACCAAGAATCAAGATGGTTACCTCAAGGTTTGAGAAAATAAACTGAGCTATTTTATTGCCAGTTAGTGTCTTAATCTGTAATTATGTTATTATAACGTTATCTAAAGAATAACAATAAATAGGATGGAGAAACTAGTGAACTGTAATTACCATAAAGACTTAAAAAAACTGAAGCCATTTTTTCTTCATTGAGCTCCTCTAATCACAGTAACTTGTGGAAACCCAAACCACATGTCTTATGTCGTCCTCCAGGATGATGGAACTGCGGCCCGGTGCCGAGCAGAACATGATGGTGGAGGTGAACTACCGACAGGGGCTTGATGGTACCAACATAGACACAATGGTACAGAATGTGTACCTGTGTGCCAGCATGGAGTTCCTGCTCACAGTGGCGGATATTTTTCTCAAAGCCACCAAGCAGGGTTTTGCTCAGGGGCCACAAGCCAAAAGCAGTACTGGTGGTGGAGAAAAGAAGAACATTAATTCCTCCGTCACGTCGAAAGACTCGGGTGAGTTGATCTGTTAAAACAATTTCAGTGTTATTCTGACGTATAACCAGTATTTATTAGTGATTTCTGTCAGTTTGGTCTGTCATCAACTATGGTTTTTTTTTTTTTTTTTTTGCCAATTCTGATTTCTGTTACCACGCACTAGAGCTGCAGATTATATCAATGATATTCATCATCATACAAGTGTGTGCAACTTCGCAATTACAGGATGCAATATTTGGTAGATCATAACACTTTATGGACCGGGGAATTAAAACTCTGCCAGTCAATCATACAGCTGGCCTGTTGGATGGACTTCTGCTTTCATGCACAAGTTTTATGCATCTCTGTGTCTTGACAGGGTGTCGATGTATCTTGCATAAAAAGTCAGAAAGTGATGCATCCAAAATTAAGACCTTGAAATGTCTTAAATTAAAAAAAATATAAGTTGGGCTTAAATCACAGGTCTTAAATTTTGTCCTAGCTGGACTATTTAATCTTATCGGGTTTTTTTTTGTTTTTTCTTTTGTTTGTTTGTTTTTTCTTGCGGGACTTTTCTGTCTGGCAAAAGTTTTTGTTTATTGCGTTACCCAAATCATCCCCCCATAGTTTTTCAGTATAAAATTTCATTTAAGCTAAAATTTAAGACTAAAGTCTTAAATCTTACTTGCTGGAACCTTGAGACGAGGTCGGGTCATCATCTCTTTAGCTGAACTGCTCATTCTTTCTGACTGACTTACTTCTCTGACCTGCCCCTTTCCTTTCTTGTCATTCGTTTCTTCTTTATGTCTTTCTCTCCATATTGTGCTCCTCTCTTTTTCTTTGCCTGCTGTAGAAACATTTGGCATAAATTCAGAGTAAAGATTTTTATTTTTCCATCCAGTGCCTGTAAAGCACTTGAGAAGTAGAGAGAATTGAGACTAGAAAAATATAAAATTTTTATATGTATGTGTTGGAATCCTTTATATGATACTTCTATAAGTTCCTCAGTTTGTTTTGAAGATATTTAAAGTAATTCTCCACCCTTGATTTAGCCAGTGTTGTATTGCTGCTCTTTGTTGCTCTCCGGTACAGCTGCAGGTCCGGTGTCAAAGATGGAGATGACCGTTGTCGTGCGCAACCCAGAGATCGTGTTTGTTGCCGACCTGACGCGCGCCGACGCCCCCGCCCTGGTGATGACCACATATTGTGAAGTGTTGATGATAAGTGGAGCAGAGTCAACAATGACCGCCTCCATCAAAGATCTAAAGGTTTATACATTTCCTATGAATCCATTCATATTCAGATTACAAATAAATAACTTTAGTATTTATGTGTGTTCAGGTTGTGGCATGCCCCTTCTTAAGAGAGATTAGGAAGAACAATCTGACCACCGTCCTCCAGCCGTGTCAGGTTCACTATCGGAGTTCTCAGCCTGCAGCAGGTCCTCAGGCTATGGAAGTTGAGATTAATGCTCTCTCTCTAAAGGTGCGTATTTCATTTGCAGTGTCACAAACTGTTTTTTTTTTTTTTTCCCCTCAAATCAAAATCATAAAAGTTTCTACTTTCTTCAAACATTTTCCTCATTTCAAAAGTACAGTCTTTTGAAATATCTCTGTACTTGGTGAGAATATGTCTTGTTTCACATCCACTTTCCTAGTATTATAAAGCTAAACACTTTTTTTTTTTTTTTTTTTTTTACATGAAATAATAAAACCCCTTGAAGTTATTTTAATGCCTTTATTCTCTCCAGTAAACAGAAATATTGAATCAGTTTTTATTCTTCTTATTGTGTAATAATTGTCTTCCCAGGTATCTCCTGTCATCATCAACACTGTGATCACCATCCAGTCAGCGCTGACGCCGCAGGCTGAGACTCCTGAGGAGCAGGAGAGTCCCGTTCCCGTGAACCTGTGGGAGAAACGACACTGGAAGGAGCTCAAGCTTTGGTTCTTGGAAGAGGAGGGGGATGAAGACACAAAGTCTCTAACGCCACTCATTCCACAGGGAGAGTCCTTAAAGGTATTTATGACTTGCATTACTAAGCTTATTTGATTTTTATAAGACTATTTTATTAATCTCTCTCCTGAGATCTTGATCTGTTAAAACATTTGGCTATTTTTGGATGATTTTTGTTGTTGTTGTTGCTTTAAACACAAAATAAATATGCAAAGTTGGAGCTGAATGCTGTATTACCATCTTTGTGTTTGCAGTTGACCATAGGTTCAATCTGTGTGACTCTGGAAGCTGGAGTGGGACACCTCACCATCCCAATGCTTCTCGCCAAGTCCTCCTTTCACGGAGATGTGAAAAACTGGTCCACACTCATTAACCTCCACAGCAAGCTCACCCTGGAGGTAAAATAAGGGAAATAAAACTATTTCTCTGCGATAAATACTCATCTAAAACTTTCTGAAAGTTTTTGTTGTGTTTTTAGGTTCACTATTACAATGAGATGCTCGGCGTCTGGGAGCCGCTGTTGGAGCCCTTGGAGGATGAGACAAACGAACGCTTCAAATCTTGGACTCTAAACCTGAAGGTAGCGGGAACAATCCAGTCAAAGTAAATCCACATATACACACATACTGTGCCGTACAGTTACAGTTAAATGTTTTGCTACCAGATGAAGAAGAAGCCAGTGAATAGCCCTACTTTGTCAGATGAAGTGGATTACAACATTCCAGACTATAGGACAGTAACTACCATCAGCAGTAAAGACCAGCTTAACATCACGCTCTCCAAGTGTGGACTCACCATGCTGAACAACCTGGGCACAGTAAGAGAAGCAGAGAAAGGCTTCCATCATTGTCGCCTGCTTACGCTTGTGTTGTGATCCCTTATCTGATTCATTTTTTAGGCCTTTGCAGAAGCTGCCAAGCAGACTGCAGAGTGTTTTCAAAAGGATGAAGCTCCCTTTGTGGTGAAAAACAGGCTGGGTCTTTCTGTGTCTGTGCGGCACAGTCAGATGTTTTCCCCCGTCGGCAAGCAGAGCAATGGACACACTGTGAACCTGCAGGATGGCGAAAGCCTTGGGATGGACTACTCAGTCACGACACAGTCGGATCAGTTCTCAGCTATGACCTCGCTGAGTGAAAAAGACTACTACATAGAGCCTAGTGAGTTTCCTGCTACTCTAGATCTGGATGAGTTGTATTTTTTTAAACCCAGGTCGACTTTGTGTTTCTTATTGTTATGTTTCTTCACACCTTGCAACAAAGTGAATATCACCTTTTGTCAAGTCACAGACAAACTTCTATTAGGAATCTTTGATGGAGCCACACAGAACTGGAAATAATTGTGTCAATAAGTTGTAGCATCACTTTTTCCAGTATTTCTTCACCAACTCTACTTGTCTAATATCTGAATATTGCACACTTTTCATAAATGTGTTTAGAAAAATCTTGGCACCATGTATAATTTGTCTTCCACTTGACAGCTAAGCTCTACCTTGTTTTGTTCGATCACATAAATCTGATTAAATTAGTGGCTCCAATGTCTTATTTAGGAGGTTTAACACTGTAGGCGACACATTAGACAAAAACAATTTAAAATACAATATTTCATACCTGTATCTTCCTTCTTATTGAGTCAATTTATCTAATTAGAAAAAAATCAGTATGTATTATTGTCTCTATCCTGACTTTTAGCATCTAAAAAAATAACTCTTTTTTTTTTTTATTATATGTTTTTAGCTCCAGAGGGCCACACTTCCACCAGTGTGATCCCTCTGATCAAAGTGGGGCGGGGTATGTACAGTGTCAGGCACAACAACTCAGGAGTCACTCGGTTCCTCATCTGTCAGATTTCCTCTGTGGAGGGCAGCAAATACATCAAGATCCGCTCTCCGTTTCAGGTACCTTGAAAGAAGAGAAAATTAGCTGTTTTCATCAGATAATTCATGTAATCTTAGAAAATCACATAAAAATGCACAAGAGACCATAATTTATTGTGCGTCTGTGATTTTTTTATTTTTTATTTTCCATATTCTTTGCAGATTATCAATCATTTCACGATACCATTCAACATTTTTGAGGGATCGACATGTCTGGGAATAGCTTCTCCGACTGAGGAGTTCTGTGTACCACTGGATTCATACAGGTGAGTTCCAAACCACAACCACCCTTCACATTCACAATCATCTCTTCTTTCTAATCTCTCTTGCCCTCCTCAGGTCTGAGCTGAGCCTGCAGCCGATAACAGAGGAAACCACCGAGGAAGACGGAAAACAGTTTGACGTGTCAGAGGGCTTCAGCTACGAGGACTTCTTATACCATAATCCAGATACTCGCCTGCAGCGGACGTGCCGTTGTCGTGGAGATGATTCTGGCGTCATGATGACGATCAACATGGTGCCAGTGAAAGACACAGTGACGTGCAAGGAGACGGGAGATATCGGAGAAAACTGTGACATTGCCTTTGTGCTTCACCTCTGGCCCTCTGTCCTGCTCCGCAATCTGCTGCCTTACCCCGTTGCCTACAAATTAAAGGTTGGATGTACCAGCATTTTTACACAGCTAAGCTTAACTTTACTAGATAGACCTGATATTTTTGTCAGACTTGCAGAATCAAGTTTAATGTGAATCATTTAATAAAGTGAAACAAAAACAAACAAAAAAAAAAAATCAGAAAATCAATTAAAGAGAACCAATCCTACAACATGAACTAGGCCAAAAGATCTCAAAAAACAACAGATCGGGTCCCGATTTAAAGAAATTTAAAACTTATCGGACTCTTTGGTGCCTGTCTTTAATTAAATTAATTTTTACCAACAGGGGAGCAAGGACAGTGACCCTGAAGTTACGCTGGGTCCAGGCCACTCCGCTCAGCTTCACACTGCGGTCATCAACCAGTCAAGTCTTGATCTCCGGCTTCTGGATTATTTGGCTCAGGACTGGTCCTCTGAATACAGGTCTAACCTGCATCTTTTATGTATTTGTACCTTCAAACCTGAGGTCACTGTTTAAGTCAAAATAACTTGTTGTCTTGCAGACTCCAGAGTGAGCAGGAGGAAATCACCTTCATTGTGTTCCAGTCTCTACGCGTCAATGAGGAAGACGTAGGAGATGGGTTTGAAAGGAAGAAGCCTGAATTGGATATTGCGGTGCATGTTCAGTACGACCCTGGTCAGACTGTTGTTGCCATCCACTCTCCATACTGGATGGTGAATAAAACAGGGAGGTTGCTGCAGTACAAGGCTGATGATATTCACCGTAAACACCCTTTAGACTACGACATGCCGCTTCTCTTCTCCTTCAAGCCTCGCAATTTTCTGAGAAACAATAAGGTAGGAATAAAAAAAAGACTACATTATTCAGTATTGTGTTTTCCAATACTGTTGTGACCTGTAATGTTACTTTTAATGCATCGTCAAGGAACATTGCTACACACATAGGTGTGACATCACATAAGCCCCACCTTCATGCCAAAGCAAGTTTAACCCATCGGTTTTTATTTAGCTACAAATCCTCACACCTGTCAGAAGAGTTGCTGCTTTCCTGCTTTACTAAATGAGATTCCCCCCCCCCCCTCTCTCAGGTTCGCCTCATGATCTCAGACAGTGAGCTGTCAGACGATTTCTCTCTCGACACAGTTGGTAGCCATGGCGATGTGAAATGTAAAGGCAGATACAAAGACTATCTGGTAAGTCTTTGTTTTATTTGTTGAATTTCAAACATAAAGATTTTATCAGATGAGAAATGTCCCGCTAACGTTAATAAAGTGGTAATTTAACGACAATATGCCATTCTCTGAGCTTAAAAACATATTTATGCACTCATAAGCATAAAGAATCTGAGTGATAGGAGCATTATGTGTTTAGTCCATATTATTTAGCAAAGGAGAATTATCAGAATTTATTGTAAATTTAGTGTAATATTGAGAATATTATTAAAGCTGCTAATATTACTGATATTAACATTTATGCTGCTGACTTCACTTTAACAATGCTTTACTGAAATTTTTATATTTTTTAACAAAGCTTGATAATATTAATGGTAAATTTCCTTACATCTCAAGTCACCACTTGCCAAGTCAGCCTTCTTTCCCCAGGATTGTGCAGGATGTAAACCCAGCATTACATTTTTGTATAAAAATCCTTTTTAACATTTTTATTTTATTGGTTTTTGTTATATTTACAATTTTTGAGAACTTGAAGGTTGGGTTTTCAAATTTATTCTTTGAACAACTTTAAGATGTTATGTAATTTATCGACATTTTTCTGTAAGTTTTGTTTTGTTTTGTAAATAATTGCACATCATCATCGTCGTGTCTTGTATTTTGCTTGATGTCTCTCTGCTGCCAGGTTGGAGTGAAGATTGATGCAAGCAGTTTCAGTCTGACCCGCATCGTGACCTTTGTACCGTTTTACATGCTGGTCAACAGTACCAAGCACAGGGTCTTCGTCTGCGAGGAGGGCCTGGAAAACTGGACTCAAGCAGAGCCAGAACAGGTCAAACCAGTTACTTACTTTTTCATTTCTTTTTCACTAATACCTGGTCTTTTAATAGCTTTTATTTAAGGTCATGTTACATTAAATCATATTTATTTTTTTTTGTGTGTGTTTGTGCGTTTCCCATAGGATACAAAAAATTTGAAAATTCTTTATAGAAGTTTTATGGTTACTGATGCATTTTAGAAACTTTCATTTTTCTTTTAGAAATTAGTTTAGTACTTCTGTCTTAATTTTTTTTCTTTTGCCAAATTATTATTTTTATTTTATATGATAAGTTAAAGTGGTTTATTAGTTTTTATTTTAATATGACCTGTTAAAACAGTTTAGTAATACTAGCTAATGTGTTCAGGCATTGCTTTTTGTCTATGAATATTAAACTGCCTTGTTGTTGTTGTTTGTTTTTTTTACCCATATTTAGTCAGGTATTCCTTTCTGGCCCGAGAACGACACCAAGCGTCTGAAGATCAAATTAGAAGGATGTTTAGCGCCTCCCCAGACGATTAACTTCACCAAACGAGAGAACTGCTTGTTGCTGCATCTGGACAACTCTGTAAGTAAACACAATCATTCAATCAGAGGATTAAAAGGCCACGACTTTGTTTCTTTTCTAACTTTGTGTTATTTAAGGTGGGCGGCATCATCGTCGATGTAAACCTGTCCGATCACTCGGCCACCATTCGATTCTCTGAGTACCATGATGGGGCGGCCCCGTTCCTCCTCATCAACCATACAAACGAATGTCTTCAGTTCAGACAGAGGTAGGACAGCAGGAGAAACGCACACAGTGAAAAACATTTTAAGCCTTACAGTTTTATCGTCTGCTGCTTGGTATTTAGGCAATGATAGAACTAGGGCTGTCACTACAAGATTACAAAACCTATGACTGTAACATTAATACTTCAACACATTTTTGTTTATAAAATTATCCTTACCTTTTAGACTTTCTAACAAAAGTTGCAACTTTTTTCCTCCAAATTATTGCTGTTTGATAGAAGAGTTTCCTGACTGAACTCTGCCTGTAGGCCATCTCTTTTTGTCTGTGTGGGCACTTCATGTATCGATTTCTAGTCATGAGTCAGCTGCAGTTTTAGAAACAAACAAAAAAGCTTTGATCTTTAAGGGGGCATTATTATGTAAAATCGACATTTTGAGCTTTACATTGTGTTATAATGTTATTCCCTCATCAAAAGCACATCTGGAGTATTTCCTTAATTCTTTAATGCATGTTTGAGAAAGCCTTTAGTTTCCTGTGGCAACCGCTCAGCTGTGCAAAACGCCTGGGTGGACGTACCGCCTTCATGATGAGTAGCTGCAGATTAGTACACCCAAAACATCATGAATGACTGTAAATCAAATTGCTGCTTGATTTGTTGATGCTTTCACACTTTGTTACAACCTCCTGTGCTGATGGCTTGGTTGAAAATAACTGTGGGAAATCTAAAGTGAAGGCTGGAAACATTAGAGCTCTGTTGCCCTCTCTGGAAAAATAAAGAACTGCAGTTCATTTTAATAAACTTAAGCTGTTTTTGCAGCATGCCCAGTGTTGATTTCATTGGGATATAAAAGGAAAGAGTGCATGGTTGTAAAAAATCTGTATTTGCATCTTTTAAATTTCACAAATTATTTATAACATAATACTTATTATTGTATGAATCCATGTAGTAATATGTACTTACATTAGGGGGTTGAGTGCCACAAAGGGGATGTTGGTTCTTTTTACTAATAAATTTTGTTGCTTTCCTTTTAGGTCAAAGTTTGTTGCCTCAGCCTGATATTCTTTTTATATGTATGATTTTTTTTCACATTGCAGCTGTTAATTTGCTGCGTTTTGATTGAAGAAAACATTTTGGTTATTTGTAGCATTATTAAGCAATAGAGATGCACCAATTGAATTTATGGTTTTTCTCAAGCACAATAAATGTAAAATAAAAGCACATTTATCGTGCTTTAAATACAACAGAGATTTATGTAATTCCACAACTATCCCCCTTAGTCATGAAAAAATTCTGTGATTCATTTTTCTTTCATTTTAAACACTCGCATCAAAGTTCATACTTCTAGTTAACTGAAAGTGGTTGGAGTTTTTAGTTTTGATGCTTTACTGGGTGAAAAAAATAAAGATTTTTCTTTGACCTGCCAAACAAAAACATGTCCCAAACTCTGACCAGTTGATTGGTGCATCTCCGTTAAACCGTTGGATTAATAATAAATGTCAGTGTTTATTTCTGTTGATGGTGATTTGTGCATTTTTTTTGTCGTGTGACCGATGCAGCACCCGGAAAGAGGCCCCGTGGGTGGCTGACGAGCTGCTTGACCTTTCCTTCTCAGGGGAGGAGGACAGGTAGAAAAATATGAAACGTAAAAACTCTTCTGACACACTCTGAACTCAGGCTAAGGACTCAGGAGTAAAAACAAAAAAGAAGGTGCATCATGAAAACATACAAGGAGAGACATGATAGTTACCTTTCTAGAAGCAGGCCGAGAGAATAAATAGGCTCATTTTTACCATTTGAAAAACAAAAAACAAACAAAAAAAAAAAACATTGTTGATCACACCTGAGAATATTTAAAGACAGAACATGAATATGGAAGAGCACTGATCCGACACAAGGGTAACTCACTACGTTAGAGATAGACTCATTTACTTTTTCCATTAAAAGAAAAAATTCAAGTAGATAAAGTTTGTATAAAAAAAACTTTTATCTCCGATAAGATTTCCTTTTAACAAAAAGGCACTTGAAGAAGATTAATATGATTTATTTTGAAGTCCTATTAAAGAAAGTAAGAAATAATTGCTATGTGGTTCAGATACATTATGTGTAAGCAGATCTTTTTAAAAAAAATGGATTATTACTCTTTTTAAATAAGTAAAAACATAATAAATACAGATGCATCACAATATATAAGAATAGGATGAAAATATATTTGTTTTATATGTTTTTAGTGGAAAGCTTACATATTTAAGAGTTTAGCCACCCTTCAATTCTCTAATAAAAATTCTATTAGTCACACATACAGGTTCATTTCAGTGAATCAAAACATCATTGAACATTTCATTTAATCCTGTAAATTAATTCAAAATGTGAAGCTTGCGTCATGAAGATTAATTACACACAAAGTGATTTTATTCCTAGTGTTTATTTCTGTTAATTATTATGAATATTGGCCATGACTAGTGGAAACGCAAACATTATTTTTCTAAAAAATTAAAATGACATGAGATGGAAAAAAAGTAAAATAAAAGAAATGTTTTACACTCATCATGGCTCCCCTGATCGACCTTCCACTGAAGATTGCCCTTGTTAAGGAAGTTAATGGGAGTTAGTTATGTGAAATTAACGATTCGTATCAAAAGAGAAATGAATGGGTTTTGTTGTTAAATGAATGATACAATATAAGCAAGTTCAAGTGATCAGGTTAGAAATTAGCTTGAAGCGCAGCAAAAGGCTCTGACTCCTGTCAAAGACGTTCATTGACCTCAGTTCTGAGTGTGGATGAAGAGGGAAGTTAGAAAAGAGTAGGAACCTGTTTCACTTCTGACTGTGTAACCTGCTTTCACACCCAACGTGATTTCACATCCTTGACAGCAATCATTGAGTCTCCTGTGGAGAACATAAATATTAAAAGTCTAGCTATAAATTAGCAAAGTTTCACCTGTTCTATGATCAGTTTGTTTCTAATTTTAAACATTTTGTGAAATGGAGCAGGTTACACACCTAAAGCTGTTTAATGTTGTGTTTATCTGGTAGCAAAGACTTCCCAGATGTTCTGCTGGCTAGATGGGATTCTGCGTCGGGAATTACTCTATCCTCTGCTCCCAGTTCTTCTCTCTCATTAACTAGCCTCCCTTTGCTTCTCTTCTCCATTTCTAGATAGTGAACTTCCCCTTTTCTTTCTTGCTTTGAGAACATTTAGCTAAATATCCATGTTTAATCAAACGGATAATATTGCAATCATTGATGTTCACCTTCTTTAAGTTCTGGGGTTTAAAATATTTTGCATTTATATATTAATTCCATGATTTATATTTGCTTTTAGAATTGTTTACATTTTTACGGAAGCGCATTGCTATCACGCAGGAAAAAAAAAATTTGAGCGCTATCACGTTATAACAGTGATACGTATCTTGTTAAAACGTGATAGTATCTCGTTAAAACGTGATACGTATCTCGTTAAAACGTGATAGTATCTCGTTAAAACGTGATACGTATCTCGTTAAAACGTGATACGTATCTCGTTATAACGTGATACGTATCTCGTTAAAACGTGATACGTATCACGTTATAACGTGATACGTATCACGTTATAACGTGATACGTATCACGTTATAACGTGATAGCGCTCGAAATTTTTTTTTCCTGCGTGATAGCAATGCGCTTCCGTACATTTTGTCTTCGTCTTTATTAAAATTTTTAATTAAAATAAGATTGAAGTAGTTTTACCACAGAACTGCTAGAGGGTGTACTTTCTTCTTGAAATGACTGTTAGTAAAACTTTTAAGGAAATTCTTATTGAGCCTTTGGGTATTTAAGATGGCATATTCTGCCCTTTTGTGATGTCTTTTTCCTTCCTGTGTTCATTGTTGCATGTACTCTGTTGTGTTGTTCTTCAAAACTCTCTTATTCTTATTTGTAAATCTTTTTACATCCTAAACTGTCGTCGCTGTTCCACTGTTTGTGAATTCTCAGCTCTCTGAAGGAGTTGGAGTGGGAGAATCTAGACGCTGGAAAAGCTGTGTATTACACCTGGACTGAGCCCACCGGGTCCAGAGAGCTGAGCTGGAAACATGGACGGAACCAAGGAGAGCTCAAGGTGGAGAAGGTACTGAACCTGAGATTAAATCTGTATCTAAGAAATGAGGGGAAATATTTAATTCGCCTTGTAGGTTTTTCTATTTAACTTAATCTGTTTGTTTAGATAATAACGGCTTACCGATGATGAAAATCACAAATTTGGTTTCTAAGGAGAAATAGAATATTATATAAAACCAAAGCAAAAAACAAAAAAATGTTGGCCTGATGAAAAGCGTGCCCTTTGCGTGTGTCCATTCAATATTTCCATTTCAATTCAAATTAATTTCGGTAAGGACAGCACATTAAACAATGTTACATGTTAAAAAACAACATAGCGACCGTTGTTTAGAAATAAGTTTTCTAGCCACAGGCTAATTTGCAAATCAAATTTGGTTTGAGGTTTCGTTTGCTTGAATTACTTTATCAGCCTGTGACTCTGCTCTACAGCCCAGGCTATGACCTTTAGTTTTTCTGTAACTTCTGCTTAAAATGAAAATCGGCATCTCCATAAAGCCAAACCGAGCTCTAACCAGATGAGATTGATCCCCAAAACATCACAGGCAGTGGAAACTTCACAGCTTTCTCCACTTTTCCTCCCGGTCCTGTGAGCTTGCTTTCTAAATGAAACGGAGTAACAAAGAGACGGACACAACTGGCTGCAGATGCTTTATATTACTTTTATTATTATTAGAGTCAAATGTCTTATTTAAAATGTTTTAATCTTGTTTTGCTGCTACAAACATTGTTTTTATCTGTCTGCATGCTATTAAAATCTTCAGATGAAGTATATTTTTGGTAATTTTATTATCTGTATGCCATTATCATCAACTTAACTTAAACTGATTGCTGTGGGTTTTTGTGTTTCACATCTTAAACTGGTATTCTAAACTCTTGTCTTTCTTACCTTCAGGACATGGATTGGTCAAGTAGAAAATGGTTATGCTGCTTTCTTAGTTGTACAAATGAAATAGTTTTGGAGAAGGGCATGGCTCACCTAAGAAAAGTAAACATTGTAATTGTGTGCTTTCCTTAAACTAATTGAGATTCAGATTTTCTTCATCCAGTTTATCTAGACCAATAATCTGTTTGGACAATGTTACGCATTAAATAAAGTTCAGTGTTTGTTTTTCTCTCGGCACATGCGCGGGTTTTTT